TGCCACTGGGTTTGTTGTTTAACTTTTTGGGGTATTAATGCTGTCTCGGGGGTCTGATGCATGGCCGAAGTCTGCCGTCAAATGAAGCGTGAAGGTTCAACCCACAAGTTTCTATAAGCTCCCTGAACCCTAAACCCTAAACCCTAAACCCTAAACCCTAAACCCTAAACCCTAAACCCTAAACCCTAAACCCTAAACCCTAAACCCTAAACCCTAAACCCTATCCAAAGTGCTTCAAGAGTTTGAGTGCAGGCCTTCGGGTTTCTGAGTGTGGCTACGACTGGGCCTTGACAGTAGTTCGATGCACTTTCTTTCACAGGCTGGTCTGCGCTCCAGAATTTCCGGGGGGGTTTAGGGTTTAGGGTTTAAGGTTTAGGGTTAAGGGTTTAGGGTTGAAAGTGTTGCCAGCAGGAGTCTGGACTGAGCAGCTTCTGAGGCAAATGAGATAAAGAGAATGCTATTCGAACTCTTATGGTACCAAGGTCAACCGTCGTACGGGGAGGATGGTGCTATTAAGTAGTTCGTTCTAACTAGTTCTTTTCTGTGCTTTGGGCATGTAGCTTGTTGGGAGCTTAGTAAGGGGAAGCTAACACCCAAGAGCTTTCGGATCTCGGGACTGCTGCTTTAAAGCTTCAAGGCAGCAGATTGGTGGCAGCATACCGTGACACTACCAGCATGGGCTATAAAGGGCCTTATATGCCCCCCCAAACCAACCCTATCAAGGGCCTTTTGAAGGGGGTTATACCGTACAATAGCCCTTGAAGGTAGAGCATCCTCAAGACTCAACTCTCAGCATCTTGGTAGCCCAGTAACCATATTGTAGTATGGGCACCCTTTTTTGGGGGTTGGTTAATTTACAAGGGAACCCCTAACCAAAAAAAAGGTAAAGGGTACCACTGGGTTACCAGAACCCTTCGTTGTTATTATTAATTAGCCGTGAGATTGAATAGGCAACCCCATGAAACTCGGGGGATCAAGCATTAAGGCCTCGAGGTAGTGCGCGCGAAGGACCAGCCTGGGGCGAGTTCGGGCGAGCTCGGGGCTTCGGAGGAAGTGAGCTGTTGCAGTGCCCCATCAGTGGAGAAGCTGCTAGGACGAAAGGGGCCGGGGGGATGGGGGGGAGAGAACATGATGGCCGCCCACATCCCGCCACAATCGCTGGCTTCAGGTGGACCAGTCTTTGAGTCGTCCCCTTGCACCAAGGAAGCAGCACTCGTAGGCACAAACCTCGCCTAGCCACCCCGCAGACATCGCTTGGGTTTTTTGTGGGTTGAGTTTTGGGCCCTGGTTTGAGCCTTTGCCTAAATACTGTCCACTGAGGGGTAATGGAGTAGTGACATGGCCACGGCTTAAAGTTCAGGATATTTCCAGTCGGCTTTGGCCTCCGAGCTCAAGGCAGCCTTGGTCGTGGCTTTTGGGATCCAGATCCATCGAATGTCACGGTCTGCACCCCGCTAGAAGAGCCGCCCCCTCCCCCCCGCCCCCCCGGTTCCGAGGGCCAAGCCGGAGGACGTCGACCGACACGTGAGGAGGCAGAATCATGGTAGCCTCAGCAAGCATTCATCCGCTCGTGCTATACAGAAACTACAGCCCGGTCCATGAAAGTGCAATGGCTAACAGGCTTCGACGCAGAAGTTCGAGAGCAGGCACAAGACCTAGCAGCGACAAGTCAAACATGAACGGAAGAAGCGGCATCCGTTCTTCCCCAAACCTGGTACCGAACAAAAGAGTTAACTCAACCCTCCAACTTTCGAACTCTGCAGGCAACAAACCCCACAGCCAAAACCCAAAGCTCTGAATCCGAAGAGGGTTTCACAGGCTTGGGGCACAGCTGGTGCTGCGTCGCGCTCGAAGCCCAATGCAGGGTTCCTCCGCAGAACCTGCAGAGTGCTGAAAGCTGCGCACGTGAGGGGAGTGAAAGGAGGGCGGGGCTGAGAATCGCAGATTTAAGGGTTCAGGATTCATGGAGGGGTCACCACTATCTCCCCTCACAAGGATCAGAGGTCTTGTGCCACGCCAAAGCTGCACCAAGAACTTGATTCCCGGTCCCAAGCAGAGGGGGTAGAGGCCCCCACCAGCCGATGTGCTCCAATCGACTCTGTCTGCCTTGGTGGTGGTGGCGGTGGTGGAAGGCACAGGTGCTACTAAGGTCGGAGTGTCGTGCTGGGGGCTATCGGGAGCTCAGGGCTTTCGGTTCAGCATTTTAAGGTTGTTGCGTTCTGTGCACATCCCTTCCACGGATGTGTCATGAGCAACATCCAAAACCTGAAGTCCGAAACTTCCGAAGCCCAAAGCGCACACACACACACACACACACCCACGCACGCACGCACGCACGCACGCACGCACGCACGCACGCACGCACGCATGCACGCACGCACACACAAACTGAGGCTCCTACGATGTGGAAAACTGCACGTCAGCATGTTCCCCTTCGCGTTCGAGCTTGTGAAGCTTTGGGGAACAGGAGGGCAGCTGGCAAGCCACGGGTTAAGAAGACATTGCACATCGTTGCATCGTGGGACAGGCGACCGGCACGTGTGTAGGGGTCTCGTACGCCCCCCACCATAGAACTCTGACATGTCATGAAAACCTAGCACACGATGCGCGCTACGATGCATGCTAGGCTGACACCTTGCTGGTCCCGCGCTAGATTTCCTGCGGGATCCAACCAGTCCCCATCTTGAATATGCAGCGGTAATTTAAACAGGGGTTGAGGACACCACCGCTCTGCAAGCCAAACGTTATGAGGCAGAACATCTTCTCGTTAGGATTCTGCGGGGGCGAGGGGTCACTTGAGTTCTGAGCCTAAACCCTGTCAAATCCCAAGCATTCTACAAAACCTACAAAACCTTGACAACCAACGAAAACAAAATAGACCTGCACCATAGAAGCAGGCCAGGAAGGTGCAATCCCACAATCCGCAGCACATTGATCACGGACCTGTGCAACCCCCTGTCTCCTAATTGGAAGCAGCAGCTCAACACAAATCTCCCTAAACCCTAAACCCCAAACCCCAAACCCTAAACCCCAAACCCTAAACCTAAACCGAAACCTACCAAAGTTGGATTCTGACTGAACCTTGGCTTGGCGCCTGCATCGAATACCGCAGCAAGCCGCAGGGACAAATCAGTTGGTGTCGCCGGCCGGGGCTGAAAGAAATGGGCTTTGGGGATTCTAGTTTTTTAGGATTTAGGATTGAGGGCTTAGGGTTTAAAGGACTGGTGGGTTGGATCCCTGCCCCCTGATACTCACCCACGAGAATCAAAAATCCCCACCCGCAATGTGGGGTTGTCAGATTTTCAGGCAGCCGGTGTCCCGGCCGGTCGCCTCGCCTGGTCCACCCTGCCCACCCATAGAAACCCCCAAAAAAGTCCCTGCCGAGAATCTTTCCGAGAATCTCATGAGTGCCACGCCTAGATCAAGCCCGCAAAGAGTCTCGCCGAGCTATCGCTGGAGTGCCCCCCCCCCCCCCCCCCCCCGAGTATTTGGAGAGTACCATTCTTCGCAAAAGCCCACAAAAGTCCCGCCGAGTACCCTGGAGCCCCAGCCCTGTCCCTGGACTGCCCCCAGAGGCCACAAAGAATCCCTTGGCCCCAGCCCAAAGATCCCAAGAGCATTTGCCAAGAGACCTGCCGAGTATCCTTGGAGCACCCACTTCTAGAGGAGCCGGCAGAGGCCCGCCCAGTTTCCCTAAAGTGGGCTCCCAGCGGGGCAAGGCTCAGGGGATAAGGTTTCCGTTTTGGGTTGCAGGTTTAGGGTATAGCATAGGGGTTGCGCACAGAAGAAGACCTAATTGAAAACACTTTCCGGCCGGAACGACTTCTGGACTGGGCGGAGGGGGTTTCGCCTTAGGGGAAGCGCAGCGCATATGTTGCTTAGATGTTTACAGCTTTCGGGGGGGGGGGGGGGGGCTGAAATTTGTTTGCTTCTTGTTTTTTTTTTTTTTTTTTTTTTGGGGGGGGGTCTGGCTCTGCGTTGAATGAGCCTGACTGATGATTTGTGCATGCTACGATGTAGTACCCTAGACTACATGTCTAAGATGCAAGTAAGAGCGCAAACTGACTTGCAACCTCCTTCGGCAGAAGACTTGAAGCTGCAATGGGGGGGGGGGGGACGTTCTGATTGTTGCGTCGGTCCGCATTCTCACAGATTCTCACCCGTCTCATGCCCATACAAGTGCTCTTCACAACACATGCCAATTGCGTGCCGCAAGCCCCCACCCTAACCCTAAACCCTATAAACCCTATAAACCCTATAAACCCTATAAACTCTATAAACCCTATAAACCCTATAAACCCTATAAACCCTATAAACCCTATAAACCCTATAAACCCTATAAACCCTATAAACCCTATAAACCCTATAAACCCTCTAAACCCTCTAAACCCTCTAAACCCTATAAACCCTATAAACCCTATAAACCCTGTAAACCCTCTAAACCCTATAATCCTTATACCCTCAACCCTCTTTCACATACACTCAAGATCGCCATGCAGTTGCTGCCGCTAATTGCACTTCGAAAGCCTTAGGCCCAAAAGCTGTTTAACTTCAAAACCTGGGCCCTAGGTCATCAACATCCCTTTGCTCCAAAGCATCCTAGAGCATCCCAAAGAACCCCAAAGCCCTAAATCTGTTCACATCGGTTTAGGGTTTAGGGTTTAGGGTTTAGGGTTTAGGGTTTAGGGTTTAGGGTTTAGGGTTTAGGGTTTAGGGTTGAGGGCATTTTAGCTGCTCACTGCTTCAGCGCCTGCTCCGGAAGGGCATCCGGCAGAGGCCTTTCCCCAAGGCTCGCAGCTTTCGCTCTCAGGGCTTCCCTAAACCCTAAACCCTAAACCCTAAACCCTAAACCCTAAGGGGCCGAGACTTCTGAACCAGCTTCGCCTGAGGCCATAGCTCTCACAACTCGGGGGTCCGGTGGCCTTGCTACGGTTTGTTGCTGCAGAGCTGAATACTAACTAGCTACATCTAGTTAGGTTCAGGTACTTAGTCTTCCGGGCTTAAGCTACGGACCTCTTTTTTGTGGGCTCCCGAGGCCGCTCGCATTCCAGCCATTCCGATCCCAAAGCGCGATGGCGGCTAATGGTGGCTGTTGATACCCAGGCCGTCAGAAACGCAAAAAAATCAAGAACGATTCCACCCAAAACCGTACGGATCGTGGTGAAAGAACAAGCCTGGCCCGTCAATGCTAGAACTGCCTTCTGCAAGCCAATCTGCAAGCCCTCCTTCCTAAGTTCGATTGGTTGCAAAATCAGAAGAAGCCAGGTGCCCGGCGTGTGAGGGTACCATTCCAACGCCAACATGATGTTGGCGAAGGGCTCAAACTCCAGCTATTACAGTGTCTTGTGTCGAGGGTGGCTGGTGTAAGAGGCTCGCGCCCACCCAATAGCAAATACCACTTGGTACAATCCTATCTTTGTACAGTCATTGACTGGGATGAACCAACTCAGAAAGCAGACTGTGAGCCATGCGCGTCGGGCTTCAAAGTCAGTCGGTGTGCAGGGCTCAGCTTGCCATCCTCGTGTTTGAAGCTTCAAGCCCCAATGAGTAACCCGACGACGACGGCGACAGTCGAACTTCTAACTTCTAGCTTCTGGCTTCTGGCTTCTAGCTTCTGACATCTAACTTTCTACTTTTCCTTCTCCTTCTACTTCTACCTTCTACTTCTCCTTCTACTTCTACTACTTCCACTTCCATTTCCCCTACCCGCCGTAGACGGGTTCAAACGCGCCGTCAACCGCAGATCGCGGACCGCGACGGTTGTTGACGCTCAGCGATTCGCAGTCGGGCAGCGCGTTGCAACCAGTTCTGTTTAGATCCAAAATTGCAAACGACCTGCCTTGCACAGACTTGGGCGCCAGGCAAAAAGTTTAAAATTGAGGGCTTAGGGTACGCCACTTCACCGACTCGAGCGTTCACCCTTGGTCAACCCTTCTCCTCGCCTCCTACCCTAAACCCGAAACCCGAAACCCTAAACCCTAAGCCCTAAACCCTAAGCCCTAAACCCTAAACCCCCAAAGAAGAGCATGCCTGGAGTGCCCACCCCCAGCAACTTAAGTGCAGAGTCCCGCCACAAAATCCTGCTGCGAAGTATGCTCCCCGATTCGGGACTTCGTAAGTTCTAGGGCCCTGTTTAGGGTTTAGGGTTTAGGGTTTAGGGTTACAGGGTGGGGCACATCGACCCGACAGCGGACTTGTTAGACTTTAAGGACAACATGGCCGTCATCGTGTGACGCGACGATCCGCATGCGCAACATGGAAACCTACGATCCTCAAGACGAAAACCCTGAAAAAGACCCAAAGCCAAGGGCCAGTCATGGACATCAGCACAGCAACCATGCCCAAGCTGCTGTAACAATTGCACTGGGCACTGTGGTACCGTAGCGACAAACAGTTGCTGCAGTTTTGCCATGAACATGATCGTTTCAGCAGCTGTCACCCGCATTTTTGGTATGATCCCATGGGGCGCGCGCACTCTAGCACCCTTCCTTCCCCCCACCCGTCTTCTTTTGCCACAAGTGCGGCTAGGGGCTCGCAGCCTCTTGCAGCAACCTCAGTGAAAGTCGCACTGTTCGAGTCTCAAAGTCCGCCACATCAAGGTATGGAAAACGCCATAAGAGGAGCCATGCAGGCAGGCAAGGTCGAAGGGCCCTAAACCCTAAACCCTAAACCCTGAACCCTGAACCCTGAACCCTAAACCCTAAACCCTAAACCCTAAACCCTAAACCCTAAACCCTAAACCCTAAACCGGGGCCCCGAGCCGTTCGGGCTCCACGGCTTCCACCAGCTTGTCAGGTGCCCGGTGGTTCGACCTCGTACCGTGCTAATAAAAATAGGGGCCTGAATAATTACAACAGGGCTTAGGGTTTAGGGTTTAGGGTTTAGGGTTTGGGGTTTAGGGTTTAGGGTTTAGGGTTAAGGGACCCTAAGGGAATACTATTAGTAATTATTCAGACCCCTATACTACAGTATCTGGTGGTCTTCCCAAATTAGGGGTACCTTACTTGGGGTCCCTATTTGGGGTTTAGGGATATGAGGGGTACTTTCTTGGGGCCCTCACTATAAGGGAATCCTACTATTTGGGGTCGATTTTAGGTGCCCCTCTTTTCGTAAACCTCCATGTTGCAGTACGTATGGTAATGGGTGGTTATACCTGCAACTCCAGTTGTCGTTGGTTTTTGGTTCCACCTGCTTTTTTGGGAGGGGGCAGATTCCGATTTAACAGGCGTGCTCGGTTTTTACGGGCGTGGTCTGGGAGAGTCTGGGCTTGGGGGGGTTGGGGAACCTCGAAGGCACAATGAACCCGGCCTTGAACCTGAAGCTACAAGACCGCAGAACAAGCCCGGAAGAGGTAACCCCCGAGGGCCTATCCCTCAATCCAATAAAACAAAGATCAGAAACCCAACGCCGCTCAAGGCCGATAAGCCCTGCATTCCAGCCGAAACGCGGAGCCCCCCACACTCCAAAACACATAGACCCTGCCCCAATCTCTAAAACAAAAAAAGCACGAAGCCCTCGAACCCCAAACCCTCGACGTCCCAAAAGTACTGAATCGCAGATCCCTGAAAGCCCCCCAAAAGCCCAAAACCCTGACGGCTGAGTTTCCAAAGCCAGAAGCACAGATCCCAAGCTTTGCAAACCCTTAGAATGCCACCTGAAGTAGGGTTTAGGGTTTAGGGTTTAGGGTTCAGGGTTTAGGGTTTAGGGTTTAGGCTCAGAACCCTGAAGTCCAAGTCTTGCGCCACGTGCTCATGCGGCTCAGCCAGCGCCTTGCCTCCAAGTCAACAAACTCCGGACAAGCAATTGCGGGGTTTAGGGCTTAGGGTTTAGGATTTGAGGTTTAGGGTTTAGTGTTTAGGGTTTAGGTTTTAGGGTTTAGGGTTTAGGGTAGCAAGGATCTGCGCAAAAGACTTCTACAGCAGATCGGCGTTGAGTCTTCCAAATTTCAACCATGCTGTGGAGTTTCAGAAGTTTGGACAAACATGCCAAGGCGTGTTTAGGTTTGGTCCTTGGAGTAGGGCTACTTAGCCGTTAGCCATTTTTTGGGTAGGATTAGCTGTCATTCCCGAACCCTAAACTCTAAACCCTAAACCCTAAGTTATCAAGTTCCTGGCCTCGTCCAAGTCTCCGTGATCCAGGTAGCTCTGCACAAGCCTTGGCAACGCACGGGGAGGCGCCGGCCGGCTGCCACAAAAGCTCCGAAAGCGTGCAGCGCTGTGATTGCGCAAAGGCGCCGACTTGTTATTATTCAGAGTATTATTGGTACTGCCAGGTTAAACCCTGATCTCTAAAATGCCGATATTTTCTCATGGCGTAAAGGCGGCTCTGGCGACAACAAAGCATCTTTCCTCCCATTTACGAGGAGTGAAGGTGCAAGCGGGCTTGCGACTTGAGACTTCTGAGCTTTGGAAGGGGTTGACAAGCAGGGTTTGACCGGGTAATGTGTATGTGGCCCAGTACCAAAGCACGATGTAATAATATTACAATAATAACAATTGTAATCATAATGGGAAGAATAATCGTAATAACAGTAATAGTAGTAATAATAATTCTCGTAATCATGAATCATTCATAGGAGTCAAGCGTGGCCGAGTTGATCGGATCTCCGAGGTCCGAAACAGGTAAGACCGCGGCGCAGTGTAACATCGAGCCTGGGGCTCGACACCTTCACCTTTGCCATCGAAGTGTCAAGAGGATCTTTGGGGTTTAGGGTTTATAGGGTTAGAGGGTTTAGGGTTTAGGGTTTAGGGTTTGGGGTTTAGGGTTTAGGGTTTAGGGTGAGGGAATACCCACAAGGCCTGTCTGCACAGGCTTTAGGAGGTGACGAAGGAATGGCGCCTAACACCCAGTGGCTCGCGTAGTAACCGCTATAAACTGCGAGACCTTGAAGTTCAAAGACTCGAGCAAGCACCCGCAGTTCCCCCACAGACAACATCCTCAAACCCTCGGCCCCAAACAGACCCCGCAATGCTGAATTCCCGGCAGCTCATCAAGCTGCAAATTCTACAGCCTACAAGCTTCAAACACCTGAAGTCATATCATAAATCATTTCAGACTGCCGGCGGACACTCGCTACATTGGTTGTGGTACTTGAGTTCATGCTTTCACCTTCCGCGGCCAAGGAGCAGTATCTGACACTGACATATTTCGTCTAGCGGGCCAAGCGACTGTTGCTAGGCCTGAAACACCCAAATTCTCGACCTGTGACCCACATCCAAACCCTACATGCAAAAGCATACTCCCCAAACATCGCAACAATGAGGAACAAGTAATTCCAAAAAAACACATACCAAAGAAAAAAATCCTTCGCTGGGAGCCCCACCGACCATCTGTGTGAGCCACTCCTCCGCACCCTGCAAGTCACCAGCCTCGAGGGGTCGGCTTGCGAAGGTCGGCTCGGGCTTTCGGCAGCTGAGGGGGCGGCACAAATTAGAGCAAGATTTCGGGGGGTGCTTCTTGTAGAACTCGAAAGGGTCCATAAGGGAATCTCATTAGGCCACTAGAAATTCCACCCTTATATTAATATTGATTGCATAGGAAGTCTGATTGAGAGGGGGGGGCTCTGTGGCTCCTTACCGGCTCTATTGCTTTGCCAGGTGATCCTGCAGAAACCCTGGTCTAGTTGGGCTAGCACCCGCGATGTCCAATTTGTGAACAGCATCTCCCAGGGGCCCACCCCGTCTTTCACAACCACGCAACTTGTTTTCATGTCTGCTCTGTTTCTCGCCGAAAGTGGCACTGCCCCCAAAACCCGCCAAATTGGCACAAATCTCGGAGAATCGGTTGTAATGTCCTGGGGTTTAATGTTCTGGTTTAAGGCGTCAACGCTCATGTGTTTCGTGTTTGGGCACGTCATTGGGGTCTCCTGGCCTCCACGTGCGCGAGGAAGACCTGAGACTATCGTGGCTTCTTGTCTCTGGTGGGACATGTTTGATACAAGGTAATCAACAACTGTCTTGGCTTCAGGGCATTTAGACTCGATTCTACTCGGTACAACAATTTGGCACAAGTTCGGATGGCATCGCAGAGTGTGGGACGCAACATCAAAAATGAAGCCCCCAACATGCATCCACGACACGGCCATGAAACCTTCTTCAAAGCCAACCGATTGTCCTAAACCCCGCAGCCCGAAACCTGTAGACTGCGCGCGGGTGGCCTCAGAGTAGGCCATGCTTATCTGGTCCAAAGGAAATTCGTTGTGTTTCCACCTTCGGCAGGCAGGCACAATATTCTTGCATTTCTGAATAGTCCTCACAGCGCTTTAGAAACTTCACTAAACCAGTAGCCGCTCAACGGCGAACACTGAACCACAGCACTGCCACACCACTCTAAACTTCTGAACCCTACATGCTTTGCGACACGGTGCCCCAACAACCTCATTTTGAATCGCCGTCCCCATGTTTAGCTTGGGTTTTAGGGCGAAAGCTGGTTCGCTGATAGCCAGGCCCTGTTCTAAACATGCAGGTGAGTTAGTCCTGTGGGCATTCTGGAAATTTGATGACTCAACGAAGCCACACAACTACGAAACTCAGTTCACCGGTGTAGTCAATTCTCGGTCATGCATATCATGCATATATATATATATATATGCTAACCCCCCAAGACCAACCTCGAATAAACACATAGTACATGCCGGAGACCCATGGTGGCTCGTAAAATCATGATTGCGCTATTCAAATCTTGATTAAATACTACTGAAGTATCCTTGTTTTTTGTACTTTCAATGGAAGATTCATTTCATATAAGTTGCATCAGTATTGCATGCGATGTTCGTCACGAGAACACGACAACTATATCTTAACGTGAGTGAGATGAGTACTATCAGAAAGGACTTCAGTGCGGGCATCACTAGCACGAATATTTGATTGGAGTACAAGCAGGTTTCAGTACATAAAAGAGAAGTACTGCTGACGTGTGTATTGCATATTATGTCTAAAACGCACACATAGACAAGCCTGCAAATACATAGATCTCCTAGAAACGTAGAATTGTTTTACAAAGACGACTTGAGCACAATGAACATGTGGACTAGATTGGACTATCAAACAAGCAGTTTTCACTACATAGGAATGAAACACTGCTCACGCACGAAGCAAATACCACTTGTACAGAATATATTATGTCTAAAACGCACATAGACAAGCTTATACAATACATATTTTCTTAGAAACCAAATATTTGCCTTGTGAAGATCACAGCACTCGACAATTCACGAATCCGAATACCTTGGGCGAATTTCTGGCGAAGTATGGACTTTGGGGTTTTCAGGTGTTTCGATACAAAGTATGCAATTTTCCTAAGCAACTCGTTATTTTTCTAAGACATTGTGCATTTTGCCAAGCGACATCTAATCAAATATGCAAATTAAATTCTATTGAATCACCCAGTACTTTTTTTTAAGCACACCTATGCAATATTCATTGCATAGAAATCCAATACTAAGTACATACTGGCTTTGTCGATATAGTAGGAATTCCTATCTTCAGCTTGCTTCGAGTGAGCAATGAGGGACAGCCGGGACAGCTAGTGGGATACTCGCCACAAAACCCCCCATAAGCAAGACTTGGAGTTTGCATAACCCAAAAATGCAGCGGACTTATTTTACAGCGGAACACATTATTACTATAAATAGTAGCCACAATAATATTGTTACAGGAACTGCGGTCGAAAACCCTGAGTCCTGGCGACCACTGAATTTGCAACGCGTCACCTATCCCATTTCCAGATTCCTGCTTCATTTGTAGTTTTTTGTTTCGCTGCTTCTATGGGACCCAAATGAGTCATTTATCAGGCACGCACGCGATTGGCTGCTTCGAACTCCTGGGATTTGCTGAAGCGTTTGCACGCAGACAGCACGTGGCACGACTAGCTCCTCCCTACTGCTACCCCTTAATTGCTATGCTCCAGTAAGTCCTGTCATGCATGAGACCGGACATGCGTCCTGAAACCTGCCCTGCTGCGCTTCAGAATCAGGTAGAACTGGACAACAGATGGCAATAAGGCGGGCCTGGGCCGGGTCAACTTCTTTGCCCTTATTTTCCACACTGGGCGCTCGAGAAGCCTGCGTTTAACTGCTGTAACGACTCTGTTTTCTTGGCTTGCATCCTTATGGCCTAGTCAACATGTTCCACGCGGCTTCGTCAAAATGATCCAACGGCCTCCTTTGCTTGATTTGGGGTCCTTGCAGCCTAGTCAAAATGCTCCAGAAACCCACTCGGCTTGGGTCCTTGCCTAGTCAAAGTGCTCAGGCGGCCAATCATAATGCTCCAGAATCCCAGCTTGGGCGGTAGCCACAATGCGCTTGATCTGGGCCCTGCTGTGCTTGAATCTGGACACCAAGTAGAACTGGACACCAGATAGCAATAAGGCGGGCCTGGGCCTGGTCATCTTCTTTGTCCCTATTTCCCACGCTGGGTGCTCGAGAAGCCTGCAGTCAAACTGCTGTAAGGACTCTATTTTCTTGGCTTGCGCCCTTACAGCCTCGCCAACATCCCTTCCCTATCCCTTGCTCGCAGTACCCTCCGCCTGAGCTCTTCCCTGAAGCTTTGAGGTGTGAGGGACTTGCAGGACTTGGGGTCCAAGGCTAGCCAAACCCCAAAAACCCTTCACCTCTAGGCGCCGGGGTCGAGACAACAAAACATCTGCGAGACAGCGCATCGGCCACTCCTCGTGGTCTTCGTCCTCCATGACTGCGTCGCGAAGTGACCTGAGCTCACTTGGGCTCAGATCCAGCAGCAAGCGCTCTTCGATCCACTTCATCTCTGCCTCAGAGATGAAGCGAGGGGGCTCTCTCGGCTTGCTATCTCACGGGGTGAGCTTCGGCATCTGGGACAGGTTGACGCGCTTGGCCTGTGTGTACGGCAGAAAAGTGTGACAGACATGGCTGTCAGCGAGGGACTCCACGAGCTGGACAGCCTGAGAACCGGAGTGATTGGCAGCGACCCATAGGCGAAAGCCATTGCTGCTGGAACACGCAGAAGTGAAACAAGCTGGCCGTAGAAGGTTTAAGGGCGTGCTGGGCTAGGGTTTTGGCTGTTCGGGTTTTAGACGGTTCAGGGTTTAGGGTGCAGGGTTTAGGGTTTGGAGTCAGGGTGCAGGCTGTATAGGGTTTGGGGTTGTAGGGCTTAGGGTTTCGAATCTAGAGCTGAGACCATGAAGCATGCGTCGCGAATCCTGCTTCCTGTCAGCCAGCACCCCCCCATCCCAAGCTTTCAAAGGCTCGAAGCTTCCCAAACCATCGCAGGCCCAAGCTTACAAAGCTTACAAAGGCTTGAATCTGAAGCTTCTGAATAAGGTCATACAATTTCAAACCGAAATTCGGTTGCAGAGTTGTATATGTATCTTGCATGCATGATGTGTTGTGTAAAATAGCCGCGAAGATACTCAACAAGTACGATTTTATCGGCATTTACAGTGTTTTCGGCGTGTACTACTTGTACACCAGTGTAGACAAGGAGGGTGTAGATCTTGGGGGAGGGGGGGGGGGGTGACCATATATATATATATATACATATATATGTATAGAGTGCCAATTTGAAACGAAAAGCGATAAATCTACAAACCCATAAACATTCCAACCATCCAAGGGCCCTCAACAAAGCTCCATGATGCACTCAACTCCCAAGTGCCCCCAAGAAAAGAAGTAACAAAAGCCCAACATCAGATGCCGCACGCAACTTCCTCAAAAACCCAAAGTCAACACCCTGCAGCTGCGCTGTCACCTTGCTGTTCGCTGCATGTGGTCCACCCAGAACCTGGCATCAATTGGTTTGCTGTAATGGGGTTTAGGGTTTAGGGTTTAGGGTGGAGGGCTTAGGGTTTAGGGTTTAGGGTTTAGGGTTTAGGGTTTAGGGTTTAGGGTTTGGGGCAACGCTATGCTTCAAGGGAGCAACCTCAAGGGTGTCCAAGACACGTATACCCCCGCACCTCCAATGAGCCCCCAAAACGGCCGAAACGTGCAAAAAGCCAGATGCCAACAGCCGGTGGCTGGCTGAGACAGCTTCTCAACTTCAAAACCCCCGGCGTGCTGAAGCCTTACATCCGAGGTGCTCAGCGGAGGCCCAGTTGCCCCCCTTTGCCAAGGCATTAAGAAGCATGTTGTAGGTGTAAACCTCGGAAGATACAGGGATGTCCGAATCCAGTCTACTCCAGCATTCCAAGGGGCTTTTGGCCTCTGTGCGATTCAAAGGGGCGCGGAAAGTCAGGTGCCAGCACCGGAAGTGAAGGAAAGGATCTGGAATCCACAAAGAGTCTTTTGTACCGGGGAACAAGTTTGCCTGCAGAAATATTATCCCAAGTCATGCTGCATCTCTGCATGTCCATCATTCTTATGTAGGTAGCTTAAAATCCCCTAGCCTAGCGTAATATGGGTTAGCGACATCGGGCGTCAGCCGGTTCCGCAGCAACCGTCGGGCCATGCGCTCGGCCATTGGGGCATCCCCAGATTGGGCGCAAGCCTGCGTGTCGTTTCAGGATTTCAGGCTTGTGGTGATAGGAGCCGGGTTTTGTGGCTTTAGAAGCTGTGGTTTGGGGTAAAAGGACAGCGCAAAGTCCGGAAGCACAAGCAACACAGGTCGTGATGTGCAACCGTGCTGGCTTCTAGGCCCCCACTGTGCCACCTTGATGATCTGCTTGTAGCAGCTAAGGTCTGGCTCAATGCCCACCTGCAACAGCAAGTTGGTGCTCCGGGTGCATGTGTCGTATCCAGCTTGGCCGTTTAGGATTTACGCCTCTTGTGTTTCCAGGCTTGGGCATGCAAGAACATTCTGAAGCTTTGGTCTTTTGCTGGGCTCCGAATCAGCTGGAATCGATTCGCTCTGCTTGCTACTTGAAACAACGGCTTTCAGAACACACCGAATTCTCAACGTCCTTGTCCCTCCAGAGATACTCTGACGCATTTTCTGCGAAATTCTTAGGACGATGTTCTGAGGCCCCAGTGAAGAGTAAAGAGGACCCTGGCAAGGAGAATAGCTGAGTTACTATCAACCCCTCACCCAGAGTGGGGAAGTAGCATATTCACTGGTCTTTTGGCTCGCTCGGTAAAGTCAAAGGGCAAGCACTCCAAACGACCACACAGCTCACTAATATGGAATAGTAGGCCCCACCACCCCTGCTCATGGGATCATGCGTGCGACTTTGCGGGGGCACTTGCATTTCGGGGATGTACAGCCTCGGGTTTGCTGTGCCTCAAAGTCCACACCCTTCGATGAGTTGCTGCTGCTTAGAAACCGAGCGTAATACAGGGGTCGGAATAATTACTGATGACATTGCCTCATGGTCCTATAATAACCACCAACCCCTATTATAACTTTTAAGGCCCCCAAAGCATGTCTACGTGCCCTACATGAGCACCTCCTCCGCTTGCAGCAACCAGTCTCGCGCACCAGTGGCATTGCCTGCCTCAGAGCAGCATGGTCAAGGTAGCTACAGAGACGGCACTCAAATGGAAGCTCATACTCCCGGAAAGGTCCGCTGAAGCGCAAGGAAATCGGAGCCCCAAATAAGGTAAGACCATGTTAAACCCAGCCGCAAGGGGGGTGTGCGAATCTGGAAGAAGTGTACTGAACGGTTCTGCGCTTGGCTCAAGGAGCCCAACTGAACCCAACCAACCCCTCGAAGCCTGTACCCTAGACCTGACATTCAAACCACAACTCTGGAAGCAGAGAGGCCTTTGCAAAGGCGCCCAGGAGGGTGCTGTATGTAACAACATCCTTGGATCACCGGTGGGTGGAAGCCACTCCATTTAATTTTGCAGCAATAGGAGTTTGGCACCTGCTGGGTTCGAGCGCTTGGAGTTTTCGACGGGGGTTGATGCTACGATGTTGCCCTTAGCTTCTCTAAACCCTAAACCCTAAACCCTAAACCCTAAACCCTAAACCCTAAGCCCTTTCTAAGCGAGACATTTATCAGAGGTGCCCCCTGTTGAGCTGAGCAGCCTCTCCGCAGCTGATCTATGATAAAGCAGGCTAGACTTACTTTGCAACAACGAAGGCCAAGCCCCAAAAAGTTTAGCAGCTCACCGCCCAACGTGGACTTAAGGCAATCTGCGAAGCAACGGCTTCTCTGAGCCTTTCGCGCCATGGCGCATGTCAGGCTTGACATCTTTACCCCAACTTCTGCAAACCACCTAACCATCCCGACCAGCCCGAACTTTAGGGCGTCATGAACCCTAAACCCCTAACCCCGAAACCTAAACCCTAAACCCTAAACCCGAAACCGCAGCCGCATGGCCGGTCTCAGCTGGAGATCTTCCATTCCTTAGCCCAGGGCCGGCAAGCCAAGAATTGTCAGGGCGTAGGGGTCTTGGGCCGGATTTGTGTATTTGCAGACCGTGCTTCGTTCCCCCTGTGTTTTTCCTCACAGATGACCTGCTACAGCCATAACTTACATAGACATTGCAACAAGAGACATGCATGTGCACAAGCTTGCATGAACACTCCACAAGATCTCTGGTGCAGATATTGTCTTCTTTGTTATCTTGCATGGGAAAGAGGCGAACCCGGATTGCGCGGTAAGCCTGCTCACAGGTTCTCATGCTGTGACAAGGTTGTGACAAGGTTAGCTATACGACGTCGCGCAGTCCGAGCACAAAAGTGCCTTATCTACGTGTCGCTGTCAGTTCTTCTAGGCAGAGGTGCTTTGTCAAACATACAACAAACAGTTCGGAAAGACCACGTCGCAAATTTCAAGAGAACTTGGCACACAGAACAACCTGAAAGGGTGGCGGCGTTGGTGGGAACCCTAGTTTGCACATGAGTTCTTGTCCTGCACCATTGTTGATGCACTGGGCACTATAGCACCGGAAAGGCCACCCTAAACCCTAAACCCTAAACCCTAAACCCTAAACCCTAAACCCTAAACCCGAAACCCTAAACCCTAAACCCTAAACCCTAAACCAAGCCAGGAATCGAAGCAGGACTCCTTCCGCCCCGGCGGTGTCCCCGCTGTTCGCAGCCGCAGACATGAGGATGTTGAAGCCTCTGGTGCTTGAAGTCAGGTTAGGTCGGTTGTCTGCTAACATAGGGTTTAGGGTTTAGGGTTTAGGGTTTAGGGTTTAGGGTTTGGGGTTTGGGGTTTAGGGTTTAGGGGTTAGGGTTTAGGGTTTAGGGTTTAGGGATGTTTAGGGTTTAGGGTTTGGGGTTTAGGGTTTCGGGTTTGGGGTTTAGGGTTTGGGGTTTAGGGTTTAGGGTTTAGGGTTTAGGGTTTAGGGTTTAGGGTTTAGGGTTTAGGGTTTAGGGTTTAGGGTTTAGGGTTTAGGGTTTAGGGCAACAGGCAAGCAAACAATCGCCCCCAGGGCGGGCAACTTTTGTCCTGGGTCTTCTGCAGCATTAGATGAGCTAGCTTCCTGTTCTAGCTGTGTGGAAGATGACTTCTCTAAATCTACCATAGGGCAAGAACGGGAAACAAAGTGTTCTGAAAGGGCGCAAAGCATCGGCTTCCTGCTGGAGAAACTATGCCCTCGTCTTTCCAGTCCAAATTTTTAAAGGGCTCAGAAACTGCAATCCCCCAATGCCCCAGAGCCCCATAGCTTCGAATGGGCACCTATCAAGGTGTGGAGGAATCTCTAGAGTCTCAGGTTTAGGGCTTCTAAATTCAATTGGCAGACCGGGTTTGGTGTCTTCAGCAAGGGGGGCGGGGGGGGGGGGGGCTCGCTGAGGACTTCACTGACGAGCTCTGGGCGAATGCCCTCGTCGAGCATCACTCGAAACCTGGGCTGCTTGGGTTCAAGCGGCTGCGAGGAACTGAGTCTACCGTACCTCGTGGCCTCAACATCTGGCACAAGTGCTAAGCATCTTCTCATAAAAGCAAGTTGCCACGCTTCGGCGCCCTCCATGTCACCCACTTTGGCATGAGCAGTCATGACCTTGGCAAGGCCGCTACGAACTTCCACTATCGCTGGGTCAGAACCGACGCATACGTGAGGGCTTCAAGTGCAGCTCGTCTGAACATCACAAAATGCGCAAACTTCAAAAGAAAAATCATGACTGCTAACGTTGGGGAAGGCTACCTTTCCGGTCGAAAGGAAGTCTTGCAAAACGTCGACCTAGGATGCTCAAAGGCCCGCTCTGGTTCCCCCTAGGGCTCGATAAGTCCACAACCTTCCCCTGCACGGCCCTCAACCCTAAACCCTAAACCCTAAACCCTATACGCAAAGAGCGCTGTCGCGCGCCGTCTGCAATAAAAATGTCCGACGAAGCCACCGCGTGGAAATGGGGCACCCATGGATCCAGGCCGGCCTAGTCTTGTCAGAGCTTTGGGAGTTTGAGTGGCTGTTGATGGATCTTCCGGGAGATCTTCTGAGAGATCTTCTGAGAGTTCTCGGATTGCGGGTCAATCTCGGAAGGATGTCACGCAGAATCGCTGGATCCAAAATCCCTCCTGCGAGTAACGCCGCTTTGTGCTCTGAACACCTTGATTACCCGAAGACGCAAAACCGACCTCAAATGACCTCAACTCCAAAAGCATCGCGGCCCTAAGTCCCTAAGTAACCACAAGCTGGAACGCTCGCTAACATCAACAAACACTCAAGTGCCAAATGCCTCAGACATACGGCGCAGCCAATCTCCGGCGCCTCTGGTGAGGGGAGGTATCGGATGTCAATCAGAATATGGTACCCTGACAAGTTCCGAGGTTTTGCGGACTTGCACCAGCAACAATCCAGCAACCGTCCAGCGGCTAAAGGGCCACCAAGAATTGTCACCTCAAGCCCTAAACCCTAAACCCTAAACCCTAAAGCCTGCAGGCCTTGGGGTTCAAGGCTAGGGTTCAGGGTGCTCATGGCTTCGCGAAATCTCCAAAAATGTTTGAAATGCTACACAAATAAGTTTTGACAAATTTAATTTCATTAATCTTTTCTGGTATGATTATCAAATGGTTCGATTTTAGTGTCGTATATGACATTGATATATCATTATTATATCTAATTTCTCCTCATCCTATACTTGATTTCTTTCATAGAGTTCATCGCCATTCGTTTATAGGAATAATTTAAGTCAAAATTCAGGATCTCGAATTGTAGTATTTAAGGCTTAAGATTTAAGATCCTAAACCCCGAACCCCGAAATCCTAAATTAAGTTGTGGCTGTAAGATTCAATATGTCAACGTTTAAGCTGAGTATTGCAGACTGTAGGGTTTGGGGGTTTGGGATTTAGAGCTTAGAGTTTAGAAAGCAAAATCCCAAATTCAGTATGATGTAGTACAATTTAAGGTCTAGGGTTTGAGTTTCACATACACTCGGCAGTGAGGCACAACCTGCACAATAAGCCCCCACCTCAATCCTAAACCTGAGACCTCAAGACCTTAAGACCTCAAGCGCGTCGTCTTGACACAGCAACATGGGAACCACGATCACAGACCAATTCGTACTTGCTGCATTAACATGCATTAGGACTCGAAAGTCCCATCTCGGGCCGAGAAAAAAGCCGTTTGAAAAGCCTGCTGTCGCCATCAGCGAATACTGCAGGGCATGTGAGACAATGACATGGTTGCTGCAAGCTGGCTACTTACTGCAGCAGCTACTTGGTGACCATGCGCCTTCGCAGGTTCGCAGCAATTTCAGTAGCGATTTCAAGTTCTGACTTGTTCCGACAGTCCAAAAACACAATGCCCGGCTTGAAAACACTAAGAATGTAGCCTTGAGCCAGTTTGTCCTTGTCATAGGCGTGTTCTGGGCCACAAGGTGGCTCTGGTGGGTATGTGTCCTCCACTCTGAGTGGCAGAACTGTCACGAACCTTTTATAGTCCAGCGCGAACTTGAGCTCTTCATGGGCGGAATATGCTGACGAGGTCATCTCGCCATAGTTCTTCGTGCACACGGCAAGCATGGTACCACTTTCAGAATGGAGCCGCCCGAGATATTTCGTTGTCAGGTCCGCAAAGCTATCGCCAGCATCTGCAGCAACCATCAGGATGTCGTATTTGCGGTCCCGAAGAATGTCAAAGACCTTGCGGAACTTCCTCAGCATTGCAAGTGGCCCTTTTGGACAATACTAATGTTAAGTTGATGCTTGATATTTCCGCCGGAAGCAAAACAAGCACGTTAAAAAAACAGAAAACATCAAAATAGAACAACCATGTCCAAATGTCTTTTCTACGGGGCCGCCATCGAATCTTGCGGAAAACATGGCAACCCGAGTGCCTTCGCCGCTTGGGATGGCGCTTGCGGCTTCTGCTGGGACACTCTTGGCGTCTGCTGACTTTGTTGCTGGAGTTGAGCCGCTCTCCACGTCCTTCTGCGAAAGGAGTTTCAAGGCTTCGTCAGCAGCATCTTTCAGCTGCCCTTTGCCATGCCTAACTACGACTTCCAAGGTCGCAATGCCACCAGCTTTCACGATGGCTTTCTTGGCCTTGTCATTGTTGGAAAGGTGTCGTAGCGCCCTTGCAGAGTGCCATTTGGCATCATCGCTGCCAGTGACCACCAGCCCTACCAGTGCCTCAGCGCCACCTTCTCTGGTGATGGCAACCCGATTCTCATCAGAAAGAGCCGCCCAATTTCCGAGCTGCTCCGCACCTTTGGCCTTCTGATCCTCCTTGCCAGTTTCCAATGTCTGGATCTCAGCCTTCAGCTTCTCCACACTCAAACCACCGGTGATTTTTGGCACCGGGTCATTGGCGGAGTCCAACTCTCGGGCTAAACGTTCAGCCCAATCCCGGTTTTCCGGGGTACCATCCTTGGCCACGCCCTCGATGGCAGCTCGAACTTCTGCAGAGCTGGCCATGGCCGCACAGCACTGGTTGTCTAGGACAGCCATGTTGATCAAAGCACGGGTAGCAGTCTGACTCGCAGCACTAGCAGTCTGACTCGCAGCACTAGCGGGTGTCATAAGCGCGGCAAGAGGCGGAACGCCCCCGGCAGCTGCAATGGCTGCACAGTTCTGCTTGTTTTCGTCTGACAAATTTCTCAAGGCTTTTGCAGCCTCCAGCTTCGCAATACGGCTGCCATGTTTCACCAGGGCCACAAGGGGCGGAATGCCGCCCTCGGCTGCTATGCTCACCTTGTTCTGAGCATTGTCACTTGCCAAGGTTGTCAAGGCATGGGCGGCCTCACGCTTCACAGAACTGCTGCCATTTGTGACCAGGGCCACAATGGGCGGAATGGCGCCTTCAGCTGCAATGGTAACCTGGTTCTGGGCATTGTCAGTTGCCAGGGTTACCAAAGCAGCTACAGCCCGCTCCTTTGTAGAATCGCTGCCATTTGTGACCATGGCCACGAGAGGCGGAATGCCCCCTGCAGCTGCCACGGCCATTTTGTTTTGGGAGTTTCCAAATGCTAAGCTGCCCAGAGCACTTGCAGCCTGGATCTTCGAAGCCTTGCTGCTACTCGTCACCAGAGCCACCAGAGCCGGAATGCCCCCTGCAGCTGCTATGGCCACGCGATTCTGGTCATTTTCGTTTGCCAAGTTGGCCAAACCAACGGCAGCATCCTGCTTCTCAGTATGACTGGCCTCCAGGTTGGTCAACACCTCGATGGCCTTGCGGATCTCATCATCCATGGCTCAACGCACACATGGCTTGAGCCACACTGTCTGTCGAGATGTGCCGGAGAATGTTCAATTTTCAACGTTGTTTTCAAAAAATGATGCATTACACCCACATCATAGACCCCAAATCGCATGTCTCGTACCAAAACGACCCAACTCCCACGTCGAAAATGGTCGATCGGTGCCACAAAGACCAGCCCAAAGCAGAAGTCGCAACGGGAGACAATATTGCGAAACAAGCGGCAACAAATCGGAGCCAGAGCCAATGCTAAGATCGGCAACCGACTCATTGAGAAGCGGAGAAACTACCAGCATAGACCCCAAACAGCTTGCGCATTTATGAAGCAACATCTGGCTGCAATATGCGCAAAAGCAATCCTATAAATCTATGTCATTGCTGCGCAAGCAAAATCGAGAGGAATAAGTTGGTTCAAACGAAATCCGCCGACCCCAGCCGACACCAGGGGGAGGCTCTCCCTGCCCAACACTGGGCATGGCCTGGTCGACTTCGGGGTTTCCATTTGTTTGTCATGGCCTTCCGGATCAGCGACCGACGCGGCGGCGCGGATCATCTGCAGGTACGTCGTGGCATCGGGTCTTACCTCGCCGACATGCAAGGGATGCTTGAGGCAGTACACCTTTTCAATGTCATGAATTTATCCCTAAACTCTAAACCCTAAACCCTCTGCAGGATGCATTACTGATGAACAAAAAGAATGGCTGGAATCAATGATATATAAAAATCAAATCCATCTCTCATTGGTGAGAAATACGAGGCAATTGCACCTAAAACCTATAACCTATACCCTAAACCCTAAACCCTAAACCCTAAACCCTAGACCCTAAACCCTAAGCCCTAAACCTAAACCCTAAACCCTTCCAATCCTAAGCCACGACCATGATGCCTAAAAGAGGGCTCTGCTTTTCAGCCAAGGACTCGCACACCGATCTGCAGATCCGCTTCAGCTCGACACTCAAGATGGCACTAACAAGAATAATAAGAAGAAGAATCAAAACAATAGTAGTAATAATAGTAATAGTAATATTAATAATATATACTACTGTACACTTCTTGAGTTGAGAGTTCAGCGATCGCTACGGATCGAGTGCCAGGGACTCTGAGTTGTGAGGTCGGCGAGCCTTCCTCATCTGCTTGAACAGTTCTTCGGCCTTCTGCACCTGGGGGTAGCAGAAAGTTGCTTGAGGCAACAACTCTCTCACGGGTTTCCCCCACTTAACACCAACTGAACGCAGACCTAAGGATTGGGTTTTGGGTTTCTTGTTTGTTTGTCTCGCTTTCTTAAGAGAGGGAGTGACGGAGTTCGGGGTTGCAATTGGCTGCAGGGTCTCTGGCATTGGAAGCCTCGAGTGTAAGGATGGGGCTAAGTTACTTGGGGGGGAAGGCTTTAGGACCATCTTGATGCTCTGGCGCCTGCCCCTTCTGCACGTAGGCCTTCAACAAGGTGTTGTGCGCGAAGGTGTTGTTTCTGTTGTTTGCCTCGGTGCATCGCTTACTACAGGAGGCAAGAAAAACATGCGATATCTTGTTACGACAACTTAACGCGATCTGCAGACCTTCCCCACTTCATCCACAGTTCTACTGAATGCGTCTGCAAATACAACTTTGGGCCAAGTCTCGTCCGTCGCATGGTGCTCGGTGAACACACGCTCCTCCAAGCATCTACAATCTGCTATCCAGGACAGGACAGCCTACAAGGCTGCAAGTAACTGCTCTGATCCACCAAGAACACGCACCAACGAAACCCTAAACCCTGAACCCGAAACCCTAAACCCTAAACCCTAAACCCTAAATCCACGGATGCCGGGAAGCATTCAAACCCAACCCTAACACCAAAAACATCCCTAAACGCCCAAGGCAAACCGTCTCAGCCCAAGGCTGCGAAACCTGCTTACCGTAGGGTTTAGGGTTAGGGTTTAGGGCTTAGGGTTTAGGGTTCAGGGTTCAGGGTTCAGGGTTCAGGGTTCAGGGTTCAGGGTTCAGGGTTCAGGGTTCAGGGATTGGGTTTAGGGTTTAGGGTTTAGGGTTCAGGGTTCAGGGTTCAGGGTTCAGGGTTCAGGGTTCAGGGTTCAGGGTTCAGGGTTCAGGGTTCAGGGTTCAGGGTTTCAGGGTTCAGGGTTCAGGGTTCAGGGTTTTAGGGTTTAGGGTTAGGGTAGGGTTTAGGGTTTAGGGGGTTCAGGGGTTAGGGGTTAGGTTTAGGGTTTAGGGTTTAGGGTTTAGGGTTTAGGGTTTAGGGTTTAGGGTTTAGGGTTTAGGGTTTAGGGTTTAGGGTTTAGGGTTTAGGGTTTAGGGTTTAGGGTTTAACATGTCCAACACCAACCCCATAAAGGCCCTGGGCACTGCAGCCAAGTTGCCGCAGCCCCGATGTCCTCGGCAACCACGTAGGCCTCGACTGCGCGCTCTAAAACTGCAGGGTGGAAGCAGGCTTGCGTCTTTGGCCTTTCGCGGATATTCGGAGAGACAGCGCCTGTAATGGTGCGGTCCTGAAGGTTTTAGGGTGTGCCCGAGTCTGGATCTGAAGGTTGAAACCTTGCCATAAATTACAACCGAAACCGAGGAAGGATCTCGGCTCGCAATTCCCCCCCCCCCCCCCCCCCCCCACCCACCGCAGGTGAGGGAGGGCACACGACCCAACCAACCCTACTACCCTAAACCCCAAACCCAAAGCCCTAATGGGAGGTGGTGGGGGGGGTAAGGGCAGGTGCGTCCTGATCAAGTATCTATATATGTCCTATGCGCCTGCAAGAAAAGTTGACGGCCGAGTCGCCTGCACCAAGGCCCCATAACCTGGGCTTGGGCAAGGGATTCAAGTTGCCCGGGCTCTGGGTTAAGGGTTCTACGGGATAGGACCGAGGTGGGGTAAAGTCAGACTGCGTCACGCCACCCCCGAAGTGCTTTTGCACTTTGAATGAAGTCACGCCGTGTGCAGAGGTCACACCGATCATCATGAACCCCGCCATTTGCACGCGCAATCCAACAAATGGTACGCTGGTATAGTAGAACAGTACGTGGCGGCATGTGTGTGTGTGTGTGTCAATGCAGCACCAAACGGTTGATGTCTTCACGATGGTCGAAGTGCATGCCCAAGGTTTTCATACCGTAGGGTCAAACATGCAAAGTTCGAGCCAAGTCGAAATTGACGAGTCGAAGTAGGTTTGTGGTCATAAGTCAGAATGGGGCGGGAAGGCAATCCCTCCGCGTACTCGAACATTCAAAAGTTGACTTTTTACGTTGCTTTCCAAAGCCGCTTCTTGGTGTAGATGTTCCGGCTAGTAGTTTTGATGGCGCAACGCGCGTCCCGCACGACATCCGCACGAGAAGGACCAGAGAGGTCCGGCTGACGGGACATGCCGGATGTGAATAGTAATTAAGTCACATCTGCTCGTGTGAAGTCACATCGCCCCCAGTCGACATGCACAAGTCACAAGAAATCACCGGTCGCGCAGCGGTTGCGCAAGGTTCGTGCAAACGGCTCACGTTCTTGACCCTGGCAATGTAGGGCCCCAGCAAATAGAGCAGATCAATGTGTTGTTGGGACTTGTTGAGTGGCAGAAGAGCATGTGAATCTGCAGGATCATGTGCCTGCAAACTGTAAAACTAAACTGTAAAACTGCAACAGTCTGTCAAAGTTCGACCTGCAGCTGGAATCTGCAACTCACATGTCGTTCCAACCATGACTTGACGCAACATCTGCATAGGCTTTTCCTGGACTGCGGCGATAGAGGAGATGTGCAGTACATCTTCGACACTCCCGGAGAATCATCCCCCCCCCCCTCACGCCCCATGCTCTTTGAAGCCGTGCGATCTTGCTTCGAAGAATGTCGTGCCGCCAATGGACATTCCTTCAAGCCCATATGAATCGCTCCTTTATGCCATGCAAACTTGCTGTGAAGAATGCCGTGCAGTCAATGGACATTCCTCAACAAAGCCGTACGAATCCTGGCAAAACCCTTCACACAAGGATTTTGTTCGCAAATGCCAGTGGCGAGTTGCAAATCCTAAAAAACACTGTGAAGACAAGCTGAGGACCTCTGTTTGTTTTTTTTGGGGGGGGGGATTGCCGGCAGGTGGCTGTATATGTCGGGATCCACGCCCCGAGCCCGCATTCGCCGCATCCATTTCTCTGCCTTCCAACAATCTTCAGGCTCAGAAAGGGTCCTCTTACGACTCATCGTTTGGTGACCCTGCATGCTTCACCAAACAGCGTATTTCGGGTTTTTCCGATTCTCCGAGCCGAGGCCGACATCTGTTCTGTCAGGGTTTTGGGCAGGGCGACAGGGTGTGGACTGCAGCGACTGCAGCGTTGAAAGATTGAGATGAAGATTGCGTTGGCCCACTCTGCTCTGGGGGCAGAGAAGCACACTGCATCACTGTGAAGGACTTGAAGCTGGAGACTCTTAAACACAACTGAGCTTGACGGCCCGACTCGACGATGCTATGGGTTACGAAGCCAAGGCGTGCAAGATGCCCGGCCTTCAAGAACTCGCCCCGCTTGCCGTAGCACTTCAGCAGCGTGTTGTAGCCTGAAATTCAGCTGCAAAGGGCCATGCAAGGGCCATGCTTGCCTTTGAGGATTGCGAGGACTCGTTCTACCGCATGCACGGCTCAATGGTCTAGGCATGCGCTGTGTGATGGGAAGAGCACAACTCGAGCACAAGCCACGTCTCACTAGCAGGGATCATGATACAGGGACAGATTGGCTTGGGAACGGCTGGAAAGAGTGACCTCACACAGCAAATTCAAACAGGCGGTGCAGAGTGCAGCAGGCGGCTGTAGATGTCGGGCTGAAAAACGCGGTTCAACATGTCCTGAAAAAAAGCAACGGGAATGCACTCCCTTCAACCTGAGCATTTCCTTCAACCCGGCCCTGGCCCGGTGTGAAGGCACTTGCAAAGTTTCCGACATCCTGCATTCGACACGGTCCCATGTGCAGCAAAGGCTTGTCTTATGGTGAGTTCGAGTATCGCAAGTGCCGGGACCCGAGGTGTAGCACTCAAATGGATGATATTGGTTCGAGACTTTCGGCGCTGCTTTAACAGCAGAACGTGCAGCTGGCATTAATTTAGGGCTAAGGGGGGGGGGGGGGGGGGCTGGCATTGTGAACCACCAGAACTTTATTGGAAGCCCAGGTTGTCACGCAAAAAATCTGCAAAGAACACGGCAAGACCGACCCTACACTCCCCTTAGCACCTTAGTAAAAATCATATGTTCAATATCCTCTTGGGTTTTATGTAAACAAAAACGCAAAAAATAGTTCCCAAGGGGAGAAAGGACCTACACCGCGCCTTGAGCCAGCTCTCAGCTGCTTTCGGGCGGTTTGCGTTCACGTGGGCCTGGCTTTGCTGGCCGGCGAACGGGGGTAGCAGTCAAAGAATCGGGGAGCGTGCTTTGGGGGCTTGGGTATTTAGGGTCCCTGAGAAGCCCTAAACCCTAAACCCTAAACCCTAAACCAGGCTCACGAGAGGTTGGACTGGGCGCCTTGATCATCTGGTTCCACATTCTCCTACCCAGGGGAAGCCGAAGCTGGCGGCGCCTCCAAATGCCTGGGTGCTTGCTCGCAGCTTTAACTTGGGCTCGTTTAGGGTTTAGGGTTTAGGGTTTAGGGTTTAGGGTTCAGGGTTTAGGGTTTAGGGTTTAGGGTTGAGGGTTTTGGGTTTAGTGTTTAGGGTTTCTTAGTGGCCAGGACCTGCGGCTCGCAGTGAACCAACCCCTGTGCCCGAAGCTCTTAGGGCGTTGCTGGGCTTGCTGCTGGCTCAAACGCTCAAGTACTTGCGGCCTTCAAGAGTCCCAACCCGGCGTCAAAAAATGGGGCCAACTTCTGAACTCAAGCAAGGTCACCTTTAGCTGACTTTGTGGAGCTGACATTCAACAGGTTCAACAGGTCTACACAGTATGTTACCACTTCTGAGCTACTCTCGGATAGAATCCCTGGGATGGATGACCCTGTTAGCCAGGTACCGCTGCCCTGATCCTGCATGCGACATTGAGATTGAGGGTGCCTGAAGCCTGTATGGAGTCTTCTGGAGCACCACGTTTGAGTTGAACGAGGTCGAAAAAGGCACTTCTATAATCAACCATCTCTTGGATCCGCCTGCGCTCACAAGGCTGGGCTAAGTGTCCTTGAGTCGTTGAGAACACAACTTAAAAATGCCCTAAACCCTAAACCCTAAACCCTAAACCCTAAACCCTAAACCCTAAACCCTAAACCCTAAACCCTAAGAGGCTTGGCGGCGAAGGCACCCTTCATGATGTATCGCGCTTGCCTCCATTCGCCTCGGTCGGCCTCAGAAGAGCAAAGCAGTGTTTGGGTCATCCAGGCCTGCCTCGGGCTCAAGGCTACTACGGACATTGCAGCAAGGAGGTTTAGGGTTTAGGGTTTAGGGTTTAGGGTTTAGGGTTTAGGGTTTAGGGTTTCGGGCTTAGGGTTTAGGGTCATTGCAGCGAGGAGGGTACACTTGGGGTTGTCTTTTGGAGCGGACCTTTACTTCAGCTTGAAGGTCGACGCTTTGCTGCAGAAGATGAAACTTCTGGCACCCTCTGCTGCGGAAGCTGATGCCTTGCCAAGTGATGAGCGCTGCCTCCCTTGGTATCCTACACCCTAAACCCTAAACTCCAAACCCTAAGCCCTAAACCTAGGGAGTTCATTTGGGGTCCTTGACTTCAGGACTCTTGACGGTGCTTGAGTATGGGAACTCTGCAGCCTGGCATTGCGCCGAGGCTCCTGAGACCCAAACCTCCAACAGAAGCCCCCCCGACAATTAAGGTTCCTAGGGCATATTTCGGGACTACTTAGGTATATAGGGGCTATATAAGGTATATGAATGGGGGTTATATAAAGCCCTCTACAAGTAATATAGGGGCCTTAATAATTCGAATAGGGTTTTGGGGGTTATTGTACTATAGTTACAAAGGGATCATAAGGGAATGCTGCTAGTAAGTATTCCGACGCCTAAAGTAAGCCTTCCAAATCCGGAATGTCCAATTGCTTCGCCGCAGCGTGGTCGCAGAGCATGTTCATGCGGTCCTTCCTGGCATCAGGGCACACGGAACAGGACCTGAACATTGACCTGAAGTCCTGAACGTTGACCTAAGTTGACCTAGCTGGTTCTGGGGCTTGGGGGTGTCAACCCATCCAGAAGGCAGTGTGGGATTTGAGGATGAAAAACATATAACATCCAAAGCCGCACCATATCGAGGAGTGTTCATCAAAGACAAAAGCGTTGGACACGTTCATCTTCATAGACAGCATCAATGCTTGCGGTAGTGTTGTGTCACGCCATCTCACGCGAAGACGCGACACTGCCTTGTCACGCGGGAAGTCACGATACGTCCCGCGAAGTCGAGCCAGAAGCATAGTCTCGAAGCTGAAGCGAGTTTCCGAATGCGCATGCAGTTCGAAGAATATTTTGAAAACTAGCGATGGGATTTCTGTTGTCGCACGCAGGGATGTTTTTAACAAATTCTGTCCGACACTCTCACAAACCGTCAAGTTTGACAACAAAATTTAAACACCATGCGCACACGCTTTCAGACAGGAGACCGTAGCCATCACAATATCGCTATTCTATGGTATAATGAAACAAAGGTCCACGCGAGGCTCGCGCGAGCTTGCGTGAGGCCCGCATGAGCTCAGGTAAAGAAAGCAAGTCTAGCCGTGCTACACTGCGCAGGTTGACGTTGGGAATGGCTTTCGTGCACGCTTTCTGCAACATCAATGATTTAGGGTTGGTCCATCCAAAAGGTAGAAACTATAACTCCAACGTCCCAAACCACGAAACCGCTGCATCCTAAACCTGCAAGCCCTACAGTTCCTGCGAAGCCATTCGAAAGCCCACACCCATGAAAACTCCCAACGTCCGCGGGGTCAACAAAGTCTGGAGACCCTTCGCTACCCGTGACTCTTGGGGCGGATTCGTTGGCTGCTACAAGCATCTGCTCAGCCAGGCTGCAGCGTGATGACCATCTGATTGTTGGGCAGGCCCCGCGCATAGAGAACGTTCCGCTTCCCATTCCGCATCCTTGGACCGATTGGCTTCGAGAAAAAAACTCGTGCAGCAGGGCTTGGGTCGCTTCAGCGTGAAAGCTCCCTATGACCCGCCGACCTGAAGAGCTGCAGTGACCAATGAAGCATGAGGAGAATGTGCTTGGTGCGTAAGGTGGCGGAAAAAAGACAGAACCTCTGAAGTGATGGATGTTTCTCCCTGTTTCCATTCTCTTCGCCGGAGAGGTCGAGGACAGGGCAACGACATGTGCGATGCAGCATGGGTCGAACCGAACTTTGAACCCCATCTGTGTCTTGAGCCTTCCAAGCCGTATGCTCGAAGGTGCCCTTAGCCACATGTGTTTTCCCATGGCCAAACCTGTGCTCCCATTACCACATGAACGTTTTGCACGAGCCGCTCTTTGAAGGTGTCCAGATGCTTGGTCATGTCCTTCTCAAAGGGGTCGATGGGGACCTTGGTCGCAACAACAAGTAACCTTGGCAGTTCACCACTTTCACCCAGCCTTAGATCGAACAACGGCTGCTTCATGGGGTTTACACTACTGTAGGGGTAACTTCCTTCGGTCCATGTTATCAGGGTCCCTTACATTTGTGCTAAGGCTCTGACCAAATTCAGCATTTGCACGGTTCACACAGGGTTGCTTCTTTGACTACTCGCAGCGATGACCCAGACGAATCTGCTCTTCATGGCCAAACATCCCGTGTCTAGAATCAAATGTGTCGCTAGCCGGCGCTGGCATACGAAATCCACCACGGCTGCTATCAATGACCGCAGTATCACCCAAGCCCCGTTCAAGAAGTAAACCTCCTCAGCCAAGCTTTGCAACCCCAACCTTCGAACCATCAGCATAAGCCCAAAAAAACCAAAACAAGAAATGTCAAAACAGTCCCTAGAAGCGCATGTCACATGATGCATGGCTCCTAAGTTCGGGGCCGTGCCGGGCTCCTTCTCCACGATAGGTTGCGCATTGAACTCGGCGAGGAACTCGCTGACCTTCAGGCGCCAAATCTCAGACTTCCGAGGTTTTCCATTGAAAGCCCTGCAAGGGGTCTGAGGGCTTCAAAAAACCTCTGCTAGGACTTAAAACCTTCATGCCTTTGGCACCATCCAAGGAAATTGCTGCTCTGGTAAGCCACGAAACCTCACCCCAACCCCGGCATTCGTGACCAACCCCTAGTGTTACAGCGATTTTTGTGCGTGAGCTGCAGTGCTGGCTTTGGCTTGGGCGGCTTGGTTTGCTGAGAAAAATTTGAACTAAACTGCACATACCGTCTCAAGCTGTCAAGGGGGGGTCAAGGCCACGATACGTTCACTTTAATTCAGGTCAAAACCCATGTCAAAGACGACGACCCTTTAACAACAAAACCTTTGGAGGCCAGAAGCCGTGAGAGAATGGTGGTTACCCCAAGTCATCGAAAGAGAAGCGGGCCTCGTCATCACTGACCGCCACAGCCTTCATCAGCGCCTTGTAGAGTTGCAGAAGCTAACAGTCTTTACTAGGGATTCTAATAGGGGTACTATGATCCCTACTAAGGACCGTTACGTTAGTATAGGGGGTAACATCACAAGGTACTGCCCAAGCAGGTTAGCATCAGTTTGCGATTGGGACAATCCTCCCAGTCCCCAGCAGCTCGGGGCTCAAAACTCAAGGGAAGGGGGGGGGGGGGGCCCAGGGACATGCCTTGATGTAGGAGCCTGAATCATTAGAATAGGGTTTTGGGGGCTATGGTGTAATAAAAAAGGGATTATATGGCAATGTTATGAGTAATTAATCCGACCCCTATAGTATGGATCTCAGAACTGTCCTGAATCCCCCAACCCTCAGAGGGTTTTCGGAGTGTTCTGACAACTCGAGAAGCGAGCAACAAGGCCTTGCCTTTGTCCCTGCGGTCTTGTTTTCTCTCAGTCCGAAGGCCGATTTGTGCTGGCGCAGCAAAAGGGAGGGGAGGGGGGGAGCGCCGAGGGGCACCTCAGCTGGAGTCAGGCTCGCTTTTGCACTCCGAGGGCTCGAAGGCGAAAGAAAACCAGAACCGAAACAGCATTGGGCCTTGGAGGGCAGCTCTTGCGCAAAAATCCCGCAAGGAGTTCAGGCGCCTCTGGCACGAGCATTGGCACCTCCAAGCCCACGTCGGAGCTCAGGCGAGAAAAAAGACGACGGCTCTACGCCCGCAGGACAGCGACCAACAACAAGCAGTGCTTGAGTCCTTCTTGCGCTTCGACTCTGCCAAAAACTTGAAGGTCTTACGGGGTCTTGCGGTGTCTTGCAAGCCAAGTCGGGGCTGGCCGGGCTGGCGAATGCATTTTCATCCTCCGGGGCCTCTGGGCGCTGGGATGCGCTGGGGCTTTGGATTGCCGAGAGGTGCCCCGAAGGCCTCTGGCGCTGCTGGTTGCTTTAGGACTTGGTGCCCGGTTTCGTACCTGTGGACGTGTGAGTCAAGCACAGGGAGCCTGCCAAAGGCAAACCGAAATAGCTACGAGGGACAAAAAACTTGACTTGACAAACCCTCATTCCACAGCTCTTGTGTCAAAGTCCCTTCTCTCACCTTTCTGGCAAGCGGCAGCTTCGTCCGCCGGCTCTTCCTCCTCTTCCTCCTGTTCCTGCAGCCCAACTCATCTTCTGAATTTTGAGGCGCTCTCCAACTTGAGTTCCAAATAACCAATGCGACGCCCACATGAACGCGGAGTGGGCATGCAAGGCATGAGGTTTGGAGCTTGCTGCCCCCCAGACGCCTGAAACACCCGTCGCAGGGGTTTCTGAAGACAGTCGGATGAAGCAACGCAGGTATGGATTCCGCCTTTGGGTTCAGGCTTTAGTTGTTCCCTAGCAACGAAAGAAATCCCGAAACGTGGCCTCAACCAACAGGGTGTGGATTTCTGGGGCTTGTCCAGGGGTTTGGAGTTCGATGCAGAACGCCCGGCAAACAGCCAAACAGCCAAAAGCGCTTCCGCTTCCTCCTCTGTGTCGACCTCCAGGTCCTCGGCTGGCAGCTTTTCGGCCCGCACCCAGACTCTGTGTGCTATGCAGCTGGCCAGGTTGTGAAATCTCGTGAATCCTGGTCGTGTGGCAGGTGAAACTGCACGCGTTCGCCTGTTTCAGGATCTGAGGCAGTTACTAGGCCTAAACCCTCAACCCTAAACCCTAAACCCTAAACCCTAAACCCTAAACCCTAAACCCTAAACCCTAAACCCCAATCCCTGACCCTCTGTGCAGTTCAGCTGCGTCCCATTCGCTAGGATCGAACTCCATTGTCTCCTGGAGGGCTCTCGTGTTTAAGGCTTAGGGGCTTCTGTGGGAGCTCAATATTAGTTGAATGCAACCCTCAAGCTAGCAACAGTGGAGTCTGACTTTGACTTGTCTGACTTGTTTTTTGGTGTACATTTGCATGAAAAAAACATAGTTATCTCGTGTACCATCGGGTAACACTGGAACGGAGATAATGCTCGCTTGTCGGTCGCTTTGCGGCTGAGGGGGCCAACACCGGACTTGGGCTAGGTCAGGACAACTCCGAAGTTGTTTGTGCTCATGCTCACTTTCGGGCTGGGTCAGGAATCGTGATGCTCAGGGTGGAGTCACTTTTTGTGCCGGAGTAAAGATCATGCTGAAGTGGCTGATGCTCATGATGCTCGTGGTCGAGTCGCCTTGTTGTCCGGGTCAGGATAATGCTGGAGCGACCGATGCTCATAATGCTCGCGGTCGGACTCAACTATGGAGCGGCTGATGCTCATGATGCTCGCCGTCGAGTCGGTGGGTCAGGGCAACGCTGCAGAGACTGAGGATCATGATCTTCGCCTGGGTCACCTTTGGGCTCCATCATTTAAAATTTAGATCAACACCGGAGCAGCTGATGCTCATGATGATTGTCGAGTCCCCTGTGGTTCTGGGTCTGGATAACACTGGAGCGGTCCGTACTGATGCTCATGTTGCTCGTGGTCTCAGCGCGTCAAAGGCCAACATCGGAGCCGCTGACGCTCATGATGCTTGCGGACAAGTTGTATCTTTCGGCTGTGTCAGGACTACGCTGGAGTGGCTGATGCTCATGATTCCCACTGTCGGGTCGCCATTGAACTGCGTCACCGGCGCGGATGAGGCTCATGATGCTCGCTCTCGAGTCGCCTTGTTGGCTGGGTCAGGATAATGCTCAGCGACTGATGCTCATGATGCTCGTGCTAGGACGCAGCGCTGGAGCGGCTAAAGCTGATGATGCTCGCTGTCGAGACCAGAAAAGACAGAAAACCTTCATCCCCAATTTGCCCAACAAGCATCGTAAACCTCCGCACCAAACCCAAGGTCATCCAAGACCCTTGCGGCCCTTGCGCCTGCGGGGCGCTGCGCCGGGGCGCATCTGAGCCCCGAAAGCCGGCGAGTTCGCCGACCTCGGCCTCATCGTCCTGGGGCTCAAGGGGTCACAAGTCTCGTGTCTTGGTTTCAAAGGTCCGTTGAGAGTAGCAGGTTCGGTTTAGCCATGGGGCTACTCGGAATGACAGTGATTGAACAGGGATTGAGGTCGCGTTTCGGACTGTTGGTTCCCGTCCTCGCCGAACAAATCTTCGAACACGCGGTCGCCGTAGTTCTCGGAGGTCCCGCCGACATTTCCAGCACCCTCCTCGCCTGTTTAGGGAGTAAGTTTCGCTGAAGCTTAGGGTTTAAGGGGCGAAAAAGGGATATGGGCCTCTCAGGTGCATTTCAAGTACAGCCGGTTCACGACTACAAACAGTTTCTGCAGTGCCCCCGCTGCCGTGGGGCAAGTAACCAGCAACCGTCTTAGGAGATGGTTTGGGGGATGCAGGGGGGATGCCTCAATACCCACATGCCTTACCAGGAACTTCGTTTGGGCTGAAGGTGTGGAAAGCCCCATCCTAGAACCCCAAGCCCCCCCCCCCCCCCAACTCTTCTAATAGCCTTGATCGCTGCTCATGCCTGTTAGTCATTTAAAATCCCCGCCTGTCTGCGCCGCACGCGGGAGGCGGTTGCCAGTGCTTCTCCTGGCGCCACGTGTATGTTGCTCCATGCGTTGCAACTTCTTTCTCCCTTTCAAAGCGAACCTTACTTAGCTTTAACTCTTTTGGGGGTGCACATGTCGTCTCGCCATGTCACCCGTCAGAGTCGGGTTGAGGTTGTGCCGCTGACACCAACCGCACTGTCTTCTCAGCCAGTATCATATAAAATCCTCTAGCGGTTTGGGCGTTGTGTCCTTTTAGGGCTTAAGGTTTGCCACATCTCCCCTTTCATGGTTTAGGGATTGCCGCCCAATACTCCTTTTTAGGGGTTTGGGCTTGCCATCCAACATCTCCATTCAGGAATAGGTTTGCCACCTTTTCCTTTTAGGGCAATTGGGTGGACTCCAAAGTGACCCCTACAACACGTTTAACACTGTCAAAAACACCGTCGAACCCTAATCCCTAAACCCTAACCCCTATCAATGCACGAAGTCGACGCATCTAAGAGCCCCGCCCTGGGTGAAGGCAACCCGCCGTGTTTGAATGATCATGCGCATCCGAGAACTGTCAACTCTGGAGCTGTAGCCTAC